AACTTATCTTTGAGTTTATTGAGCTAGTTATCTTATATTACAATAGAGTTTATCATTTGTTTGATCAATAATGATTTTACCTGTAAACAAATTTAAAAAATTAACTTTTAAAGTAATCATGCCAATATCAAATGCAAAGGCAGTTCTGGTGAAACAATCACATTAAGATGTTTTTGCCATTTTATATCATATTTGAAATTAGGAATTTGGCAATAATTTTATTGTTTATTGAACAGCTTGTTGAGTAATGCACTAAACCAGGGAAATGGGGTCCTGACTCTGCTGGCTTGACCTTCTCTGTTTCCCGCCTGATGAAGGGGAACAAAGCAGCTGTATTCTCTGAGGGCTACCTTCAAGAACAAGGGGAGGTGAGAGAGAGGCACAGAAAAGATCAGGAGGGGTAAAAACTGGGAGGAATCCAGAGACATGGGAGGAGGTGACTGAGGACCCAAGAGTAGGGACAAAGAGATAAGGCCTGCCCCAATCAGCATTCTGGACTCTACAACACCCTGACATATCTCTTAAATATGTTTGTCCCAGGGACTTTTTAAATTAGATCAGGTTTGGGAAAATGATGCATTTCACATAGATGCAAGTCATAAATAAAGAACACACATCACAACAGTTTTTTAACCTCTATAGATAACTAGCTCAGTAAACTCAAAGATAAGTTATTTTTTTTTCGATAAGTTACAAATTTAAAAACTAAACATTTTCTTTTTTAAAGCAGAACAACAATTGTACGTATTATTCTTTTTATATGATATGACAAAACACTAGGCTATGTCTTTTGTACTTCTATGCATTTTCACAATGAATGATCATCTGATAGGAATAAATTGGTTTAGACTATAATGGGAAATATGTTGACTGTCCTAACACTTGAAAGTATATGCCTACCTAAGTAATCAAAATATTAATTAGGCAGTGAGAAACATGAAACTTCATAGAGCTAGCATGTTGGATCCTTCATCATCTATTTGGACCAAAGTAGATCAGGTGGAAAACTTTTGGAGATCATAAAATTTTGCCAAATATTATGGGAGAGAAATGGGAAGGAGAAAGAGAAAAAGAAAGCTACTTTTTTTTTTATTTGTCCTTTAAGGAACACTGTTTATCAGTGCATGAGTCTCAGGAAGTTTTCCATAATCATTTGGCTGAGTATGAGAAGTGAATATGAAGATGGAACAGGTCATAACCCTCCTAAGGGCTCTTTGTCATCAATTAGCTTCTGACTCATTTAGGGTAAACTGCCAATGAAGGTCAAACTCCTTTCCATTGCTATGAAAGTGGGCATATGTGCTCTCCCTACACATAGATTTAGCAGTTTACCCTCAGTGCCAATTGACTTTGTGGGGCACATGATAATAGACATTCTTCATTAACTGTGGATAGTCAGAATTGCATGGGGAAACTTGATAAGAACAATAATGTATTGCAGTGTTCTCTTAAACTGTGTGTAATTTCACAATTTGTGTGTGAATTTTTACTATATGAGTCTTTGAAACAGGATACAAGTAGGTCAAAATATTTAGATTTTACATTCATTTTTGCTTTTTTTTCACTAGTGACTTAGCCTTCAAGTGAAATATGTATGCCACCACCAAATTTGAATACTTTTCTATCTCTAATCATACCTAATTGCTAAAAAGCCTCAGCTTATTTAATGCATACCATCGTTCCTACTTAAGTTTGCTACTAACAGGACCACTTCTGTTCCAGGTCCAATAAGATGAACTTGCTACTGCAACTTGGTTTTGCCTGCAAACCATTCAGATGTTAAAGCTAATTTCACATGTTTCATTATTTTAGTCCCTCCTCCTTCACTCTCTTTCACTTATTTTTAAATTTTTTTTTATCACATTCTGGGGCAAAGAAAGGGAGAAAAGACTAAAGTAACTTTGGTTCATTTATTGTAGATTATTTTAATTATTAAAAAGTTTTATTTTTGTTTAATAGGGAGTATAAAAAGAATGCAAAATTCTCAAATTCATGAAATAGATTTTACACTTTTTATTTTATTAAAGTTTCTTTTTTCACATTTTCCTAAATGGTTAAAAGATGATTGCATTTCTCTTTTATATCTTTTGGGACAAATTGTAGAAAACATTGGTCTTTATTCACCATTTTGTACTATTTTCTACTTTCAAATTAGGATGAAATATCCTCAGTAATTTTTCAGTGATCATCACAATAAAGCACGAGTGACAGTTGATAGGTGAAACCACATTCATAATTCATGAATATATTGAAATTTCTCCAGCCTGTTGTTGCATGTTTAGGAAAGATGGTCCATTAACACATAAATACCTTTGATCTTAGAACAAAAGTTAAGGGAACTATCAATCAGTCTTCAGATTTGAAGCATCAATAGAAAAAAAAAAGATTAATTAATCAATTAGAAATGGAAGCAACTGCATATTCCAAACAGATCTATAATACCTGTTATTAAAATTTAAAGTAAATGTGAGGATAATAAAATATTTCTTCTTTGGAGTTAGATTTTAGTGATTTGAGGGGATCATATGTTACTTAAAAATATATATGCTATTTGGAATCTTTATATTTGAGCTACATGGAGATTGTTTTTGGCCTTGTGACTTGAGCAACATTTTGGCTGGTATTGATAAATTGAAGAATTTCAGTTTTTGCTTTCATCATTGTGGTTTCATGCTAGTGTCAACACACATCTGTTACTGGTGTGCTATATCCACAGTTGTTTTGAAACCATTTCAGATGTATTTGAGAGATAAAATTAATATTCTTGGAAAAGCTAGTCTATTTATGACAGCAATTCCTGACTAGACATATAGTTTCTTTGTATCAAAAATTAATCCTTCCATTTCATTAAAAGGTTATTGTTGTGTCCCCCACTTCCATTCCCTACCAATAGACAAAAGTGAGATGATTGTGAAAATGTGTTTCAAGTGAAAATATTCCATCAGATGGGGAAAAAGGATTTAGGTAACATTTAAGTAAAATTCCCTTTTTAGCCCTTGAGACAGTCTGAGCAAAGAATGCTCTGCAAAAACTGCGAGTAGAAAGTTGTCATTCAGGGAAAGTTAGAAGCTGAGCTAATTGGCACACTTTGGCAAAGATGACTGTATTTAAAGGAGAAAGTGCCGCCTTTGGTTTGTCAGGTAGTGACAGAGTTACTGCAGTAGGCTCTATGCTTCTTGAGAGGAAATTAATTTCCTGCAATCAAATACTGTGGATTATAGTCTTTGTCTCCTCTGTCTTGGCCACAGAAGTAACACCAAGGCTTTTTATTCAGCAATGTTTCATGGGCTTTGGTAAAACAAGCGGTGACATAATCGGCATAGAACAGTTTCACCTGCTACATTTCATAGCTCCAGTACATAGCATATTGCTGCTTTGAGACTGAGAGCTTTTACTTTGCAAGTGGCTATATTTATAAGACTTTATTTTGGGGAGGAATAGAAAATGACAGCAAAAAATCCAACATTTAGGCAGAAGAAATCTTAGTGATGTTTGAAAATGGAGTTACAAAGCAGTCTAGGGCTATGTGTTTTGGTAAATGATTTTCAGTAATAAACAAGAATTTTTGTAGAAATACTAAAGCTGATTACTAAATGATGTTTAATAGTAATATAAGTGTACAGTTTGTCTTCTTGAGTTGTTCAATTCCTGCTCTGTGTGCATACATACGTACATATCACATATATATATATATATATATATATATATATATATATATATATATGATCTATATATACATGTGCAAGCTTGAGATTGTTTAAATTCATTGTGCATAATTTACAAATAATGTTTTGAAAGTTGTAGCATTTTAATTCATTATATCTGAAAAATAATCTTTTTCTATAGGACAGTGGAGAGGAACAATAGCAAAATCTTTAAAGAAAATTAGCTAAGGTCAAAAAGAAATAGGATTTTCTTTAATAATTCCTATTTTTTATAGTTAAAAAAAAAGTAGTATATAGAGAAAAGGAGTTGCCTATCCTCCCCACCTTTTGGCCTGCTAAATTCCAGCTCTTTTCTTTGCCTTCCCTGGTGAATGGCAGAGCCTGCCTGGTCCTTGGTGAAGACATTAGGCACCCTGTAATTCACTGCTTGTTCCCAAGAATAGCTTTATTTATACTTTGGGAAGACTTGAATGAAGGTTTTGTCAGGTGAATAAAGCTAGGCCAGCCAGTCTTCTCTTACCATCTATTAGTAGTGAGTTTTGACTAAAAACCATTCTAGGAGATATTTAAAATGGAGAAAGAATATTTCTTATTTTCGTCTCCAGAGTTTGGCTTTGAAAAATAATTCAACCACTGTCAGTGTATAAACAGAATGCATAAATATTTATATAAACGAATGACTCCCCAGTAGAAAAGGAAATTAGGTGTTTTAGTTTATAAAGAGGTGACTAAAATTATACATTAAAAATCAGACAAACTATTTTAAATGGCTGAATTATCTCATTATCTAATAGTATGTTCATTACAATACCAGGCAAAAGGATTTCTAATATAGTCCTATATAATAGCTGTCCTTATTTTAGTCCAGAGTTAGTCTTATTCTGAAGCAACATCAATTTCATTCTTTTTTTTTGGTGGTTCTGGGGATTGAATCAGGGCTTTGTGCATGCGAGGCAAGTACTCTACTACTTGAGCTATATCCCCTGCCCCAATATCAATTTCATTTTTAAAATGATTCCTTCAGATATTATAGGATAGAACTGTTCTGATTTTATTTGACATGTTACATTTAAGGCTTTTCACCTTAAGTACCAACATGGTCCTTTAGAGCTAGTTGGAGCTGATTTGGGGCTGTGCTTCTAAGACACTGTCGAAGAGGTAGTCCCAATTTTTAGTTTGATAATGCACAAGGATTACTCCATTAACAGCAGTATAATTTTCCTAAAGCAGTAGGTGCTATTCCATTAAACACTGAAATAGATGGTACATGTTAGTATAGTTCTCTAGCATTCAGGAAACTCAATGATCACTTTGTTCTCATCCTGTTTCTTACAGCCAACCCCACCCGAGTAGGAGGGAGAGAGCCGTACCCAGGCTCTGCAGAAGTCATCCGGGAGTCCAGCAGTACCACGGGAATGGTCGTCGGGATAGTAGCTGCAGCTGCCCTATGCATCCTCATCCTTCTCTATGCCATGTACAAGTACAGGAACCGGGATGAAGGCTCATACCATGTGGATGAGAGTCGAAACTACATCAGTAACTCAGCACAGTCTAACGGGGCTGTGGTAAAGGAGAAACAACCCAGCAGTGCGAAAAGCGCCAACAAAAATAAGAAAAACAAGGATAAAGAGTATTACGTCTGATCCCAAGATCTTAAAAGGACACTTGTATAGAAATAGTCTTCATTTTATCTGAGACATAATATAAACTTATTTACTTTCCTTTTTATGAAGCACATACAAAAGAAGACAGGGAATGCAATCAGGAAGGAAAGACTGTTTTTAAAAAAACAAAAACAAAAACAAAACAAGTATCTCATGCTCTTGTTTCTCAAAAAACAAAACAAAAAAAAAAAAAGGAAAAAAAAAAAAAAAAAACAGGGGCCAATAAATTCCCTAACATCCGCAGTGTTTTCATTTACTCTGCCTGTCTTTATGTTGCTGGAACATTTCTAAAAGACAGTGATGACCGCACGCATTCATAAAGCAAAGGAGTATTACAAAATCAAGGCACAACACAAAAACAACACAAAACATAACACACAAAAAAAGAAGCTACCTATGATCCTGGATTTAGCCAAAGTGCTAGCGCTTTCCTGAGAAGTCAGTTAGTCCCATTGCCAGAGAAGACTGTCATTTTGAGTGACTCAACCTGCAATCCTTTAAGAGTTTGCCGCCTGGTGCAACTGGAGCAGTGGTTGGAACTTGCATTTGAAACAAAGTGCTGGCTTTTTTGAAGACTTGTGTAGGAACACATTCAAAAAGCCCCTTTCTGGTTGTAAGAGAAAAAAAAATACGGAGGCCTTATTTTCAAAAATGTGAAATATAAGGCACATTTTCACACTCAAATTTCAAAAGAAAAACAAGAGGGCATAGATGCAATCATTGGGAAATTTTCATGCACGCTTACTATGTTATTACATATGTTTATATAAAATCCATCTCTGTGTGCTTTCTGGACTGTGATAAGTGACGTTTTATAGCCTGTTGTATAGAAAATGCAAAATATATCTGCTCTTCAGCCATTTTTGGTAACTCAATGTTATAAGTGTTGCTAAATATAGGGAATTTTATGACATCAGAGCAACAATTATTTCAGTCAATTTTTTTTTGCCACCATTATAAATTGCCACACCTTTTTTTTTAATAAAAAAGAACAATTACAGTGTAGTGTTTATTCTAAGAAAGATATGTATGAATGTATATAAAAAGACTCAGCTACTTTTTTTTTCTTATATGTACAGCCTTCATTCTGTTGCAATTAAGTTTTAGTATTTGTATGAAAGGTGTGAATTAGAAGGTAAAATATATACACAAGTATCTTATAAACTTTTCTCCCCAAAATACTCACGTTCCCACATACATTCACATTCTTAATTAACACACACACACACACACACACACACACACACACACACACACACACTAATCCACAGGAGTCCATCAGATATGATGAAAGACCCAAACATGCATATAGTCACAAATATTTACTGACAAATTGAAAAGCAGGAAGGAAGATAGTTGTGCCAAGGTATTATAACAAGTGGGGTGATTTGCTTCCTTGAGATCTTGCTCCCAGGAAACCCCAAGAAGATTTAATCCCTAATCAAATAGAATATCACTGGTATACTGCTGCATGAATAGGAACCATTATGTGGGCAGGTAACAGAAGCAAAATTTGGTTAATATATACCTTAACTCTGGCTGCTGCAATTGAAAACTTTGTTTCCAACAAAATAATATATATACATATATATATATATATATTCTCTGAACCTGATGTGCATGATAAACCTTTTTGGAAAGTAAACAGTTTCTCAACTAAAAAAGTATTTTCAATAATTTTTGATTCTGTATTACTACCCATTTAAAATTGTTCTCTATTTGTTGATTATTGACTAAATTTTAACTTTTCTGGTTTTACATCTATATCATTAAATATAGTTTTAGTTTAACATACATTAAGTATTAGGAAAGTATAGATTATACACTTGTTTTGCATATTGTTTCAATGATGTTCATAGCAATAAATTATTAGTATGAGAAAGTAATGCAAAGGACATGCATTATTGGATTGCAAGGAGATGCATCAGTAAAACTTGGTCACATTACTTGAATGTGTCCTAGAAGAATGATTCTAGATTTCATAGGAAAGAATACCTTTACAATTAGCTTTAATCAGCAAGGGCAAAAAATGCAAAACATCTTTTGTGACATTTTAGTTGATATAAAAATGCCAATAAGTGGCTTGAACTTCAGACATACAGTACCTTAGAAATATGTATAATTCATAGCAAATCACCACTACCTATGGTTGCCAAGTAATTGTGTAAGAAGAGTCTTAAAGGCTTTTCATGACCCAGAAAGTAGAGGCTAAAACTAAAATTTGATATCCCTTCTGTTTCAGGTTTTACTTCTTTTTAATTTGCCAGGTTAAAGAATTCACAAGTCTTTTTTTTTCCTCCCCTCTCTTTCAGTCTTACTCAGGGAAAGCCAGAAAAATAAAAGGGAATATAAAACCACTAATCTACAACTAAAGGTTAAAAAAATATGGTTGCTTTAATATTTAATCTATTGAACTTGAACTAGTTTCATCTAGAGAGAGTCTAAAATATGATAGCAAATAAATTGAACAGTGGTATTTTTAAGCAGTATATTTGTGAATCATGATGTTTGGGATTAATTTCAGTGTTTCTTCCCAGAAAAAATTTAAAATTTCATACAATGATGCAATCTAATATTGCCAGTAAAAATATTTCTAATGTTATTGGTCTACATGAAATCTAGCAGTTTTCTTCCTGAATGGAGAAAGAAAAGAGAGGAACATGAGTTAGGGAGAGAAAGAGACTTGAATACAATCCAAGTATCTTCATACCGAATGTATCAGGGTTCATGCATAATTTGTAATTAGTAGAGAATTTCACACTACCTGGCATAAATTTGATTACATCTCTAGACTGTAACTTTTCTGATTGAGAATGCTTCTTTTATATCCATGTAATATGTTGCCTTTAAAAAAAAAAAAAAAAACAACTACTACAATAATGTTTGAGGTGGTCAATCCCTATGACATCAAAGAAAGGCCACATGATCTTACCCTTCTAGTGCTTTGTGTGATTGGGTATCTAAGGGGTTTGTTTTGTTTTGTTTTTCTGTTGCAAGGCCAATTTATCCATTATTGGAAATGCTAAGCAAGTGGAATTTACTGTTTTGTTAATAAAATATTTCTTAATACAACTGTGGTTTATTGATTGAAAAAATTACATGCGGCAAGCTGGGCATTGTGGCACATGCCTGTAGTCCTAGCTACCTGGAAACTGAGATGGGAGAATCACAAGTCTGGCCAGGTTGGGCAAATAGTGACAAGTGAGACTCCATCTCAAAAAGAAAAGAGAGAGAGAGAGAGAGAGAGAGAGGGAGAGAGAGAGAGAGAGAGAGAAGGAAAGAAAATTACAGATGGCTCTATTTTACAATAAAGTGGAGCAATAAGGAAGACTACCTTTGAAAAGAAATTCCATCCTAAAGTGGCAAATACGAGAAACATATTGGCGTGTTTTTTAAATTCAAATATACATTAAACATCTCTACTTGAACACACAAATTCATAAAACTCATTGAAAAACAACAGTCCATGAAGATGCTGATTTCATAAATATGGTTTTCTCTATAAATACAATGGGATCCAAGTTAAATGAACCTGTGATAAATTCCAACACTATCAGTCACTTGACGCATTCATTCTCATGAATGCGTTCACATTCATTTAATGGTTGCTGCAATTTACTTAATTTCTTTGATTCTCACTTTTATTATTTGAACATTAAGTATAATATATAACACCATCTTTTTAGGTTGGTAAATGTAATATTGAACTAATCTACCTACCACAACTAAGGACAAATTAAAGGTGGCCACCAGCAATATTATTATAGCTTTGAGAAAAACATGTCAGAAATGTGTGTTCAGCTTGGGCTATTTGAAAAATAAAATTTAAAAAAAAAGACCAACACAAAACAAAAAATAAATGTATAAAAGAACACATTTGTTTCCATATAATTATATGCTATTCACAAAGCTTAGTCACTTTTTGGAAGTCAGATGACTCATCAGAAAGTTTTAGTTGAAAAGTTGTGTTTTAAAACCTTGGTCTTCAAAAAAAATTTTCTTAATAGAAAAACTTCAGTTTGGCCTTTTCATTTTTCTTTTTTCAATGGCCAAAGGCTCAAACATGAATGTTCAGTCAATTTTGTTCCTATATTGCTATAGGTACATGTTACTTCTTAATAGTAATTCATGATCTTTAAAATTTAATATGGAAAACAATTCACATTTCCTTAATATTTAAATGAAAGACTATATAATTTACCTCACCTTTAAAATGTATGGCTTTCACTGATGGTGACCATTTAAAACCTATGATCAGCAAAGACACCAAGAATTCTTATGTTCTTGACCCTGGAGGCATAGAACACTAGAGTCACCAGGTGTTAAAAACATAAATGCACATGCATATACACATATATAATAGGTATGACATATATATATATATATATGTATATATATATATGTAATAGGTATAATATATAATACCTATATCTATTATATCTATATAAGAATTATATTTATAATTATATATGTGTATATATGAAATAATTTGGCAAGTGTATATAGATGAACATTTTCCTGGGAAAAGTGTTTCATTATGGCCCTCAAATTCTCCAAGGACTCCAAAATTTCCCAAAAGATTAAGAGCCACTGAAACAGACATTAGATATAAACAAAACTGTTATAAAAGTTATACTAAGGATGACTGATTCAGTCAATATTTAGAAGGCATAAAGGAGATGTCATGAACTAACTTTAGCAGTACTGTGCTTTGTACAAAGAAAGTACCCTTCTTGATAACTAAATGTCCGGCTATGTAACTGAAATTCAATCTTGCTTCATATTGACAAGTTTAACTTTCACATATTTACTAAGCACTATATATATAAACTCTGTCTATACCACATGTATCCATTCTCATGAATGCCTTCACATTCATTTAATGGTAAACTTCAAGGATTGAAATGTTTGAATTAGTACCTTGAACACAGGCTGTATATATCCAACATGTAGCAAGGTCCTGGTTAACAAAAGCATCTGTCTTTAAATATGCAAAAGTTATCTATATTTGAAAGTGGCAGAAAGACTACAAAAACTACATAATTGTCCAAAATATATGGTTATATTTAAATACAAAGGAGAAGACAGCTTTTTATGAGAGTTATATTAATAAGGCATCATTGATCTCCTTGATAATTTTTCTTTTATCAAGGGGGCTGAGTGGTTTTAAATCAACAATAATTATGTCTTGGGCTTGTGCAAGTCCTCATCGTTGAATGCTGTTTCTACAAAAAAAAAAAAAAGAGCAATTCTGGGTGAGGAACATGAGTATTCAAGTGGCATCTGATATTACTCATCTGAATTCCACACCTGTTAAAGACATGGCAATGGTTTGTGAAGTTTTATGGAGTAATCTTGCTTAACAGCACACAGTAACTCCTTGAAGGGGAAAAAAAAAAAAACAGAATATTGAGCCACATTGTCTCTCCTTCAATAAAAGTAGCAATAAATAAAACAAGTCTTATTGAATGCTTCTCACCTGCAGTAGTTCAGATGTTTACTGTTATGAACAATGTCCTTTTCAGTTACATCAACAATCTCAATTCTAATCTCTCACAAGCATAAAATTTAGGGCAAATTTAGTCTAAATCCTTGGTTTGAAAATGACTAGCTCTGGGACCTTGGGTAATCTGACTCAAATCATCCAGAGTCTATTCAGCTTTAAGAATGAGATTATGAGGATTTGTAGGATTGTGACAATTAAAAAAATATAGTGAACATTAAGTGTTTTGCAGTTAAAGGTATTTTCTTAAAAGATAAAAAAAA